TTTTTCAGTAACTGTGAGTGTATGGGTCTGAATATCTGCAGTGCTTGGCATTCTCCTAAGAAGTGGTTTGTTTTTTTTTTTTAATCCCAAAGGAAGTAGATAGTTGCACACACCAGGCTTCCTTATTTACACTGGCAAGAGAGCCTAACTCTAAATTTAGCCAATGTGTAATTCTACATGTTATTTATATATTATTTCTTTTCACATACACCACGCACATGCACACACATACATTTTACACATATGTACACGTATGATACACATACATACTTACATGCCTCATTCCTGGTTTCATTTTATATTCTATCATCATTTTCTAAATCTTCTTTTATACCTGTTTCTGGCTTATCAAATCTTCTTGTATTTTATGTATCTTTATAAGCAACCTTAAAACTTTCGGGGGGAAGAAGGTGGACTACACATAAAGAAACTGCATAAAATGCAGTATATAGAAAAAAGACTTGTAGAAAATACACCCAAATTTGAGTAGGTTGATGGGGGAGGTGGTAATTGGATTAGATGTGATATTAATTTTCCCTAAAATTTTCTATATTTTTTAAGATTTTCTACTCAAAGCAAAATTATATCATCAGAAAAATTATTTTTTTTTTAGAAAGCAGTTTTTATTCATACCCCATGCTGTCCAGTGACAGGAGTGCATTTCTCTCCGGCAGCCAGATGTGGCTGAGGGTCTCACAGGGCAGTGGTAAGCAGAGGGGGTCTTCAGGCTTCACAGCAGCTCCGTGGGGTGACTACAGTTAACAGTTTATTGTACAATTTCATATAGGTAGAAGAGATTTTGTTCCTAGCACAAAGAAATGAGAAGTGTTTGAGCAACAGATGTGCAGATTACCCTGATTTGATCATTGCACATTGTCTACGTGTACCAAAATATCACATTGTACCCTTAAATATGCGCAATTATTATGAAAAATAATTTAAAATAACGTAAAGTTTACCCTCTTAACTATTAAAAAAGAGCTGATTGGGTTCTCAGGAAAGCACCTCCTCTGCTGCTTGCTCTGATCGTGCAGGGTGGAGTGGGAGAGCTGGAAGGGAACGTTCATCTGTTTATCTAGAACATTTATTGAGCTACTCCTTTGCCTCGGCATTCAGTCTCTGCTCTGACGGAGTTTACATCCCATTGGGGGTGGGGGTGGGGGTGGGGGACGGTCAGAGAGTAAATCAGAAACTATAGCAAATAGTGATGCTACCCCAGAACGGTGACATTTAGCCCTGAAGTAAAAGGTGAGGAGGAGATGCCCGAGTTAAGAGCAAGGGGTGGGGGATTTCCAGAGAGAGGGAACTGCTTGTGCAGAGGCCTGCAGGTCGGCAGGAGTCGGGCAGGTCACAGAAGTGAAAAAAGGTCGTGGTGGCCATCGGTGGTGAGTGGGAAGGAATAGGGAGCATGTTGGATAGATCACCCAGGGCCAGGTCTGGCTGGACCAAGGGAAAGAGTGTGAATTTTACTCTAACGATGGTGGACGGCTACTGAAGGATTTGATCAAGGGATAAAGGGTTTAAGAAGATCCTCCTGGCTGCTTATGAAGCATGGATTGGAGTAGGCAAGAGATGACACCGGGGGATTGGCAAGGAGATTCAGTCCAAGCTGACGCTACAAAGTCATGGTTTTGTGAGGGTTTTTTTTGGGGGGGTGGGGGGGTGGGGACAATTTAAGAAGAAAAATCAGAATTGTTTTGTCAGGGTTTTGATGTTAGCATTTTACTAATGGAACAGGCTTGCGTTTAATGTGTACATAATTTTTGTTTTCATTAGACAACACTACCTATATTACAGATACCAGATATGTGTGTACCCCCATTTAATTACACATACTAATACAGTTGTCTCTCAGTATCCATGTGGGATTGGTTCGAGGACCACTCCCCCAAATACCCTAATCCATGGATGCTTAAGTCCTTGATATAAAATACTGTAGTATTTGCATATAATCTACACACATCCTCCCATATACTTTAAATCATCTCTAGATTATTTATAATACTTAATACAGTGCAAATGCTTTATAAATAGTTGTTACACTATATTCTTTAAGGGATATTGATAAGAAAAGAAAGTCTGTATGTGTTCAGTACAAATGCAGTTTTTTTACCAAATATTTTCATATTTGGTTGGGGTTGGTTGAATCCACAGATGAGGAACTTGTGGATATGGAAAGCTGACTGTTAAGACTAAATTTTGTCAAAGGAAAATTTAGCGTAGTTGGCCATATTTCTTATATAACCAAATATTTTCATATTTGGTTGGGGTTGGTTGAATCCACAGATGAGGAACTTGTGGATATGGAAAGCCGACTGTTAAGACTAAATTTTGTCAAAGGAAAATTTAGCGTAGTTGGCCATATTTCTTATATATACAAAGCCAAGCTCAGTTGACCGAAATTTAGTATCACCTGCAAGATTTGACCCATTGCAGAAATCTGAGCTCACCAGCGTTGCCTGGGCTGGCGTTTTCTTATAGAAAGAAACTGCTTGCCTGGATGTAGAAACACTAATATTTTATTTGGGAAGAATGACTCATTGCTTTAGGCGTCAAGAGTCCTGGGTTTTACCTTTGTTATTGTACAAATTTGATTTGACCTTGGACAAATCATTTCAGTTTGCATTTTAGTGCTTTTGTGTAGAAGATGGGAAAAATAGTTATGGTGAATCTCCTGTCATTATGTAACTGGGAAAGTGCTCTCTAAATAGCATGTGCAAAGGCCCTGTGGTAGAAGGGAGCAGGCTGATATTGTAGGGACTGAAAGAGGCCCTTTCTTCATGTAGCTGGAGAGCAGAGCACAAGGGAGAGATGGCCCAAGGTCAAGTTGTAGAGGAAGGCTAGGGCCAAGATGCAGGATCTCGTAGACCTTGTTGTGGCCTTTAGTCTTCATCTGAAGGGCAAGGGGAAGCCATTGGAGGAGTGACATTTAAATAGTGGAGTGACATAAGTTTAACAGATACACTGTCTCATTTAATCCTTTTAACAAATGTATGTGCTAGGTAATGTTACCCCCATTTTAGACCAGCACAGAAACTCAGGGTGGTAGAGGTTAAGCACCTTGTAGGTAAATGTTGGAGCCAGAAAACAAACTCAGGTCCTCCTGAAACCAGGGTCCTCTGTCCTCCATATCAGCCTACCTCAATAGTAATATCATAGTGACCACAGTTTTAAAATGCTTTGAACTCTTAAGATGAAAGATTTCCCTTAAATTACAGAGTGGCATTATGCTGAAGAAATATGAGCAGTAATGAGAGACTGGGTATTGCCGGGATCTTTGCAAAGGCCCAGTCTGCATGGCTCTATTCCAGCACCTTCAAGTTCTTTGCCGTCTGGTGGGGAGTGGGGAGCATGTCTCACAAGCAGCTATCCACACAAAGAAGGGTTTGGCCGCTCCAGCTGGCCATGTGACACTGCCATTGTCCATAAGGACTCACTGTCCGTGAAATGTGCNTTTAAGGGATATTGATAAGAAAAGAAAGTCTGTATGTGTTCAGTACAAATGCAGTTTTTTTTACCAAATATTTTCATATTTGGTTGGGGTTGGTTGAATCCACAGATGAGGAACTTGTGGATATGGAAAGCTGACTGTTAAGACTAAATTTTGTCAAAGGAAAATTTAGCGTAGTTGGCCATATTTCTTATATATACAAAGCCAAGCTCAGTTGACCGAAATTTAGTATCACCTGCAAGATTTGACCCATTGCAGAAATCTGAGCTCACCAGCGTTGCCTGGGCTGGCGTTTTCTTATAGAAAGAAACTGCTTGCCTGGATGTAGAAACACTAATATTTTATTTGGGAAGAATGACTCATTGCTTTAGGCGTCAAGAGTCCTGGGTTTTACCTTTGTTATTGTACAAATTTGATTTGACCTTGGACAAATCATTTCAGTTTGCATTTTAGTGCTTTTGTGTAGAAGATGGGAAAAATAGTTATGGTGAATCTCCTGTCATTATGTAACTGGGAAAGTGCTCTCTAAATAGCATGTGCAAAGGCCCTGTGGTAGAAGGGAGCAGGCTGATATTGTAGGGACTGAAAGAGGCCCTTTCTTCATGTAGCTGGAGAGCAGAGCACAAGGGAGAGATGGCCCAAGGTCAAGTTGTAGAGGAAGGCTAGGGCCAAGATGCAGGATCTCGTAGACCTTGTTGTGGCCTTTAGTCTTCATCTGAAGGGCAAGGGGAAGCCATTGGAGGAGTGACATTTAAATAGTGAAGTGACATAAGTTTAACAGATACACTGTCTCATTTAATCCTTTTAACAAATGTATGTGCTAGGTAATGTTACCCCCATTTTAGACCAGCACAGAAACTCAGGGTGGTAGAGGTTAAGCACCTTGTAGGTAAATGTTGGAGCCAGAAAACAAACTCAGGTCCTCCTGAAACCAGGGTCCTCTGTCCTCCATATCAGCCTACCTCAATAGTAATATCATAGTGACCACAGTTTTAAAATGCTTTGAACTCTTAAGATGAAAGATTTCCCTTAAATTACAGAGTGGCATTATGCTGAAGAAATATGAGCAGTAATGAGAGACTGGGTATTGCCGGGATCTTTGCAAAGGCCCAGTCTGCATGGCTCTATTCCAGCACCTTCAAGTTCTTTGCCGTCTGGTGGGGAGTGGGGAGCATGTCTCACAAGCAGCTATCCACACAAAGAAGGGTTTGGCCGCTCCAGCTGGCCATGTGACACTGCCATTGTCCATAAGGACTCACTGTCCGTGAAATGTGCCCAGGGTTTGTGCTTTCAGGGATTCTGAGCTGGGAAATCAGATCTGGGCAGTTCACGCGTGGTTTCACTGGAGCCGTCCTCCAACACCAAGTTTCTGTGTTCTCCCTCTTGGGCAGTCAGCTGGCGTAAGTGGATTCTTTGAAGCTGGTGGTAGAGATCACCGTCTTGATTCTGAACTCCAGAAGCCTTATTCAGAGTTCACAAAGAGAAACACTGGCTGGCACACGGCCCTCGAGGCTCTTGTTGATGATGACAAATGTCTTTTCCTTTCTAGTCGACCATGTTGTTCCTGAGCCTGGGACAAGTCTGCTGGCCGCCTTCGACCAGTGGCGGGAGTGGGCTGACAGCAAGTCGTGCTGCGACTACTCTCTGCACGTGGACATCACCGAGTGGCACAAGGGTGTCCAGGAAGAGATGGAAGCACTGGTGAAGGACCATGGTAAGCTGTGCCCATTTGCACCCTCTGCACATAGTCTCCTGTCCCAGCTCTGGGAGGAAGTGCTCTGCAGATAGTGCTCCTAGATCCCGTTTGTGCCTCACGTCCGAGCCTGCCCTGAGTAGCAGGGCTGCAGCTCTCGCTGGTTGGAGGTGGCCTTACCCAACACGGTAACACAAGCGTTCATTGATAAGAGCATATGAGCCCTGCACCTGGGACCCATTCTTATGTGACAGCAGCTCGCAGCTTGTTGGCTGGAGGGGCCTGTGCTCTCCAGCCAGGTCTGGGGGTTGAGGCTACAGCGAGAGTGATTTACCCTCAGAGATAACAAATGTGGGTCCCAGTGAGGACTCTGGAAGTGTACAGGAGCCTTGAGTGCTGGGCAGCTTCTTCCTACAAACCGGGGAGAATCCAGGGTGGATCGCAGGGTTGTGAGACACTCCAAACCTGAGCGAACCTCAGTGGTCTTTACTGTCCTGTAGAATTATTTTGGGGAGCAAGATTCCAGGGATGGGGAAGATTCACAGGGAGGCTGGAGGAATGTTTACTACCCCAAGGGCCTCTCTGACTCTTGTCAGTAGGAACCTCAGGGGTTTTAGGTGGTGGAGCCAAACCACATCGTCTTTCCGTCGTCTTCCTGGAACTCTGAGCTTGGCTGTAGACTAGATTCCTGGGGTTGTTTGTTGACCTCATTGGATTTTAACCTTCTGGGAAGCACCTGATGCTTTAGGGTTCTGGGATTTCTTGGCTCAGAAGTACCAGGTGCTATGGGTAAAATGCAGGAGGGAAATCTCTAGGCCTGGATATGATAGGGGAGAAAAAACTCAATGAAAAGCAAGCGTCCTGGGTTTATTTCTCTGCCGCAGACTAGCTGTGTGACTCAGTTTTTAAAATATCTCTCACATGAGGGTGTTGGACTAGATGTCCTCTAAGATCTTCCTAGCAGGAAGGTTATACATAAAAAGAAAAAGGTAACATTTGACCTTTCCCACTTTTGAGAATGCCAAGACTCCAATGGATTTAACTTTTGATAAGTAGAATGAATCTATTCCAAATCAGGCAGGAGGGTTACCATAGCAACTGTTGCCTGGCAAGGAGAGGAGGACCAGGATGTCCTGAGGCTTTTAACTTAGGCAGCTTCCAACACCCCCCAGGTGGCTTGAAGTACAGCTCCAAGGTTGTCAGGACAGTTGTTTAAAATCGTGATGGGTGCTGGGCAGCGACTTTGGTCTGGTGCCTTAGGGGGCAAGAACTCTAAGAACCCAGGATGAGAATTGCAACATTTGCTTGTTGAACTAATGGCCCTTTTCTTATTCTAAAAAGTGTTTCTTAAAAATTGGCAAAGAGGGCAGTCTGTTTGCCAAAGAAAAGATGTTGATTATAGATCTTCATAGACAGAAACTTCTGGTAATTCATTTTCTTGTTAAAGTGGCTTGTTTTGGGAGTAGCTTTTGTTTTTTTAAAAAACGCACTGTGATAAATACACATAACATAAAATTTACCATTTTAACCACTTTTAAGTGTGCAGTTCAGTGGCATTAACACTGTTAATGTACATTCACACTGTTGTGCAGCCGACACCACCGTCCATCTCCCCAACTCTTCATCTTACCAAGCTGAAACTGTCCCCGTTAGCAATAACTCCCCGTTCCCCTCCCCCACAACTCCTGGCCACCCCCATTCTGTTTCTGTCTCTGTGAATTTGACTCCTCTAGGGACCTCATATAAGTGGAACCGTACAGTATTTGTCTTTTGTGACTGGCTTATTTCACTTAGCATAATGTCCTCAAGGTTCATCATGTCGTAGCACGTGTCAGAATTTCCTTCCTTTTTAAGGCCAAATAATATTCCATTGCATGTATAGAGGTTGTATTCTGCTATCTGTACACCTGTCGGTGGACACTTCATTGCTTTCACCGTTTGGCTATTGTGAATAATGTTTCTGTGAAGATGGGTGTATAAATACTGGCAACTTTTAATTTTGATACTGTTCTAAACTTACAGAAAAATTGTAAGGGTACTGGAAAGAATTCTCATACACCCTCTTCTCAGATTCTTTAGTTGTTTTTATTTTATCCATTTGCTTTATCATGCTCTGTCCCTCCGTCTTTCTCTCTCTCTCTCTACACACACACACACACACACACACACACACACACACACACACACACACACACACACACACACACAGAGTATTATCACTTTCTTCTTTCCTTCCAGATTATCTGATTTTGCTTTATCTGTTAAAAGTCATGCCTCCACCACTCTGTTTTGTCTGTCCTCTAGGGGTAAATTCCTTCCTTGTGTACATGGCTTTCAAAGATCGCTTCCAGCTAACGGATTGCCAGGTAAGAGAGTCGGCTTTCCTGAATAGGCTCGCTGACAGTGGGTACGTTTCAGGCCACTGCTGTTGTCTGGTAAAACAGCCTCCAATGTACACACATCCCTTAGCTTGGTGGGAAACGGCTGGTGGATGTAATTTGGTGAGCGTGTGAACCCAGTGCGCTGGCCCCAGCACTGGTGCCCCCCCCAGGCTCTGGATCTGAGCCTCGGAGCTGCCACCTTGGCACGGCGTGGTCTCCTCCGCACACCTGCCGCAGACCCAGGTCCCGTCGGGGAGCCTCTCACTCCTGATCCACATCCTTCATTATGAGGGCGTCTCTCTGCCAGTGTGGCCAGAAATACCGCCGTCAGGCAGGTCACACAAGCCAGGCTTAATAGATGCAGCTGAGGGGTCCTGTTTCTCACCCCAGAAATGCTGCCAACAGGGAGATGTTTGTCCTCGTTTCTGATCTCCACTCTCTTCTCTCTCAGATATATGAAGTGTTGAGTGTGATCCGGGATATTGGTGCCATAGCCCAAGTCCACGCAGAAAATGGTGACATCATTGCAGAGGTATGGGGCTTTCCTTTGTTCTTTGTCACCTGGAGGCAAGAGGCAGTTTCAAGAAGGGTGACTTTTGTAGCTTAATTGCCACGGGGAAAACCCAGGGTACTTGGTGTTCCTGTGCTGGGGCTCTGCTAAGGCCGGTGACATGCGTGCCTCCCGTTGTGCTCAGCAGGATGTACAGCGGTGACTGTACATGGATAGGCTCTTTCTCTGGGCACGTAATGCAGCTGCCTTGAGTGGGGACTCCCTAGTCGCACACAGACATGTTAACTATGGCCGGGGCTGGGAATGCGTCGGCTTCCAGCATCCCTGAGGAGCAGCTGAGCCGCTAGGGGAGGCTGTAATTGATCTCCCCCGCCCGGGCAGGACTGGGAACAGGGCAGTGGCCCCTTCTCTTCCTGAGGGCTTGGGATGAGGCTGAGTGGCCAGCAGTGACATTTTCACCCGTTGACGGGTAACTTTGGGTGCAGGTCGCTGGCCACCAGGCCGTGTGAAGTCCTGCTCTCCCTGACAGGCAGGATTTCTTTGCACTTTCCAGGAGCAGCAGAGGATCCTGGACCTGGGCATCACGGGCCCTGAGGGACATGTGCTGAGCCGGCCTGAGGAGGTGAATGCCTGCGAATTGAATTCGTGAATCGGGGTCCCTTGGGTGCTGCGCAGAGGCTTGTGGAACCCACTTCCTGCTTGTTGAGAACAGGGCTTCTCTCCAAGAAGCTGTGGGTCCTGTGTGTGTCTACACAGGCAAAGTGGAGTGTGAGGCTGGGGTGGGGGGTAAAGCAGTGTGGATCATCTAGCCTGAAGGCTCCTCTTTCTGTCGAATCCTCCAAGGCCTTTCTTGGATGGACACCAGCAGTTCTTTATCAGCATCCTGCAATCAGGTTTTAGTGGTTTGTGACTTTTTATCAGTCGCTGAAACATAGGAAGGGGATCTCAAAGCTCTTCTACATAGCTAACAAGCATAAGGGGAATTTAAAATTTTCCATCGTAAGCTGCTCGGGGTATATCATGATAACAGAGTTTTGTAGACAGAATCTTTTAAAATGGTGGATGGCAAATTCAGAGCAGGGGTTCCTGCTGGCACAGAGTTTGAGAATCCCCATCTTGGCTAGTGAGGCGTGTTAGAAGAGAAAGAGCTTGCATCTCATATGATGGAGAATCTGTTTCTCTAAATTAGGATTTGTAGCATTTATATAATTTTCAGAAGTTTGCTCCTAAATGAAAGGCTCAGGGTCAGGCTTTAGAAGACAGAATAGTGCGGCGGCTCTGAGCAGAGAGAACAGTGAGGGAGTCTCCTGGAAACCAGCAGACTTAGTCCTGCAAGGAAAGGAGGTATCAGAAAAGGAGAAGGTGTAGAGAAGGGCAGATCAGAAAAGGAGAAGGTGTAGAGAAGGGCAGATCAAATCACCAAGGACTTGGATGGAGGCTTAAAATTAGGATTTTCCTTCCAGAAACAGGTGGAGTGAGATGCTTGACAGGACTGTGAAGGGGACCCTGGTCACCCAATCACAGAACTTTAGAACTGGGGCATTCCCTTGAACCCAGGAAGAAGACCAGGATGTATTGGGAGCTGCTCCCGTAGTAAGAAAGCGGGTTCAAGAGGGTTTGACATCGAAGTGCTGCCAATAGATGGCCTGGGGTGGGGATGATGGGGCACAGTAGGTGTCACAGCCTTTTTCCTCAGACTTTAGGGGAAGGGACGAGGCTGGAAAGGAGAAAGAGGGTAAGAAAGAGGCAGAAAAAAGAGGAAGCGGAAGCCACTGTAGGATGTTTTGAACACATGGAGGGTTTACACTTTGTTCTGCCCTTACTGTGTGCAAGCACACAGAGGCATGCACACAGACACGCACACACAGACACATGCACAGAGAAACACGCACACACATAGACACGCACATGCGTAGACACGCAGCAGGACACCAGACATGCAGCAGGGCACCTTCAGCACTATCTGAGGCTCCGAGGACCTTTTCCTTTCCCCAGATGAAAGGACAGAAGCTATGACGTTTTCAGTATCGGTTGGTCCCTCTCCAGGCCATGGGATGTAGGTCTTTCTGTAACCACCCATCCTCGCCATGAGTGCTAAAAGCTGGGGCTGGGCCAGCTCCTGGGTGAGGGAAGCTGAAGGGATGTCCTTAGGCCCCTGCTCTAGCTGAGGGGAGTCCTGTGCTGTGACCATGGCAGGTGGACAGTAATTCTAGGAGGCAGCTTGAGAGAGAGAGACGGCACTAAAACTAGCTGAGGCTGAAAGTACCTGAGGCTGATTTCATGCACATGTGTGTGCACAGAGACACACATGCACAAGCACACACACATGCACACGCTCACGTCCACACACAGATGCATGCACACCACCCATACATGCACATGCACAGACGTGCACATGCAGCGTACACACGTGCACACGTTTTCACATATACAGACCCATGCATGGGCACATGCAGTTTGGTGACCTACTTATCACTAGCATCATGGTGGTTAACCTATATGAGGGGTCTTCAAAAAGTTCATGGAAAGATTTGTGTTCTCTTCTATTTTTCCATGAACTTTTGGAAATACCTTCGTATTTGAACTTTCTAGAACATGCCCTTCCACTATGTGCTGTTCTTCCCAACCCACTGTGTGAGACCACCTGGTAGAATTTTCCCTCGTTTCCATTTGAGAAAGTTGAAAAGGAAATTGTAAGGATGCAGAAATCTCGAAATCACCGATCTGTGACTGGGGTGACAGTGACTGAGCAAGTATCCTGATGGAGGCCCTGCCAGGCCCTGGGGGACAGTGAGATGAGTGAGAAAGTGACCCTTTCTGAAAGGGACTCTGGATGAGGTGGGAGGGAGAGGCAGAGAGCAAGTAGATCTGGGGATAGAATGTGATGTGGGTGTGAGCAAGGACAGCGGGAGGACTCAGGTGTCTGGGAAAAGAGGGGTGACTCAGAGATGAGGGTCCAGAAGAATCCTTCATGGAGTTGGGGACTTTCCAGCAGGGCCTTACAGAAATACAGAATGTACTGACACTGCTGTGTGTCCCTTGGACGGGTCATTTCCCTCTCTGGACCTTGGGTTGCCTCATCTTTAAAATCAGAAGGTGGGGCTAGATGACCTCCGAGATTGCTGAGTGCCCTATAAGGAGGCAAAGAGATTTTATTTTTAAACTATCATCCTATTTCATAACATTTTAAAGTGATGCTATTTATATCTGAGTTTGACGTTATGTAAAACAGTTTGCGTTTTGTATCAGAGGCACACACACACATAAACACAGAAGGATCAGATGTTCTGGGTGGAATATGGAGAGCTGGGGTTTACATGACCTTTTCCAACAAGCTAACACTTTAGTGTGGCCTCTGCCCAACTACAGGCCACTTGAGGAGCTGCAGCAGAGAAGTTGGGGTCTGAATTTGCTTCACAGCGGACGAGCAAGTCCAGACAGATCCCTGGTACCTGGGTCCTTTTCACCACAGCCAGTCTTAAAGGAAGCCAGTCCTGCAGGGGTAGGACCCCTCAGTCATCTTATCCCCTAATTAGTATGATTACACATTTCCTTTATCCGGGATGGTCCTGGTCTATGCTGAGTGCTCCCATGGAGATATTAACAGTGCCTCTTTCTGCTTCCAAAAGTGTCTGTGCTGAGACAATAAATGGGGTGCTCACCTGCATCCCTGGGCAGTGCGAAGCTTCTAGATTCTAGTGGAGTCCTTTTCTCTCTTCCCCGAGGGACGTCTGCAGTGCCTGGGGAGATGCGGGAAGTCCCGCCCTGTGCTGCGGGGCCGAGGCTCTGCTGCTGTAGTTGGGGC